TGGTATGGTGCCTTATTATGGCCAGGAGCTCAGCCACCTGTAGTGGGCTCACAACCGGAAGTCAACTACACGTGCCGTCCCAGAGTGAGCTTTGATTGATGAACTCATAAGCAGCAACTGTCCCTGTCGATTGCACTACGAAAGCCAATTGCCGGTGATATCCAGTTTCACTCCCATGGAGTGCCACTTGTCTCATATTACGCCTGCGAGTTTCCTAATCTCCGTACACGTTCTTTGTCATCCTAAACTGTTTCCTTCTCGTAGCACCTGTTCAGTGACATTAATGGTCCGCGCGTTACTGCCCTACGCGTTGCATGAACTGCCAAGCGTATTTTTATTCAGCTAACCTCAAATAGAATATCGGGTGCCTCTGTTTCCTTTAAGGCGACAGCTTTAGATGCCGCGTGAAAGGCGAAAAGTGACAGTCCATGACGTCGGTCTAAATACAAGTCTTTCTCAAGCTCCCCATGAGATGACGTGTACATTTACGCCATCGCGAGGTCACAGATCACCAAAGTTCATGACATCACTTCGAAGTCATTGTGGCACCACTGTGGTTCACATAACGTGATGTCACATGATGACACCACTACATAACGTCATTGCTTGGTCATATGGGCGCCAATCAGAGGCAGTTCGAACCGACAGGGGCATAAAGCTTTGTATGGGGCGAGGGAGTGGTTCAGTACAGTCGCAGAGCTAAAGAAAAAAGAAGACAGCCTCTTCCTACGAGTCATCCAAGAAAGGTTTTTAAAAATACAATTCCTTTAAATCCTCCTTGAAGTCGCCATTGGTGCACCTTAGGTGAACGTATAAGTGCCTAGCTTAAGGAGACATAGCTGAGTGCATTCCAAAGTGCCATATTTTGATTGGGAATAATGTTAACAAAAAATATCGTCTTTTGTCACCAAGAAATTCGCATATAAGAAAGATTTTTAAAAATACAATTATTTTAAATCCTCCATGAAGTCGCCATCGGTGAACTTTAGGTCAACGTATAAGTGCCTAGCTTAAGGAGACATAGCTGAGTGCATTCTAAAGTGCCATATTTTTGATTGGGAATAATGTTAACAAAAAATATCGTCTTTTGTAACCAAGAAATTCGCATATAGTTCAGCAGTCGTTCCTGTTACTTTATCTTAGAAAATAAACCCCAAGTAAAGGAATATTTTGAGAATTGTAATTATTGAGTTTCCGAAGAAATTTTTTGTCGGTAGTGTTAAGTCATGGGTGGTAAGTAAAAAATTATCAACGTTTTCAGGCTCTTGACAGTAATAGCACTAGGGGTATGGTACCAAATCAGGCCTGTGTGAAGCTTTGAAAGAAATATTTTAAGGGGGTAGGAGTGAATTAATACAGTTGACTGAGAAAAAAAAATGTGGTGTCTTTCACCTTCGAATCCTTCAAAGAAAATTTAAAAAGACAGTTGTTTTAAACCTCGATTGTCTTCCATCAGTGAGTCATAAGTAAATGAATAAAGAGTCATAAGAAATAGATAAGAGAAATTTTGGTCTGTCTTTCTGTTTGTTTTTCTGTCAAACCATCCAGCCACCCGACGAAAGTTTACACCCTTGCTCGACGGCGGCTGCGTTCATCCTTCAGAACATTTTCTATCAAAACGCAAATAGTACGCATATTTGAAGTGCATAATCATTCCGTAAGTATTAGGTAACATGCTTCTTTACAGCGCAGGTACGCAATTTTACTAACCCCGGTGTAATACGTTGCGCTGACAATGCGACGCTATGAACAAAAAAAGCGGGTGTTTCTTACTCTTTGCTAAGCCGACACCCTGCTGCTACTTACCGGTGGCTCTGCCCTCTACAAAATCTTTCATTTCTTGGCATTACTACCAGATGGCGTCCATATCTCATGCAGCGTCCGCACTAGAGATCTATCGAACTTTTAGGCAGGAAATTGCCAAGGAAATGACCTGTGATAATAGTCGGGGTAGTTCTCTACTGTTTGAGGCCAGGACGGGAGTGTTGTGAACCAAGACATATCGGGCCAAATACGAAGGGGTAGACACAGTATGCAGTGCGTGTGGAGGGGAAGAAGAAACTGCCGAACACTTGATAATGTTCTGTAAAGGGCTTCATCCTACAGTTCAGGATGATGGCGCAGAGTTTTTCAAAACACTGGGGTTTGGGGACAGGGAGGGCAAAATAGACTTTAAGCGGGTAGAATTACCTAGAAGGAGGTTATCTGATTGGTGGCTAAATTCAAGGCACGAGTGAAAATAAACCCTTCACTGCAAAGTACGAATCCTCAACCTCACTATTTAAAGGGAAAAAAAGATAAATCTAATGGTTAGTTCGCTAAGTATTACGGCTAGGTGGCGTTAGTCGCCGCCCGGTCTAAAGGGTACAGCCACATCCATCCATCCATCCAGCGTAGGGTGTCTCGATGCGCGCGCCCCTGAACTTCTGAGTGACGCAATTCTTTGAAAGGGTCGATGCCGCCTCGCTGCTCGCGTCCGCCATGTTTTGGCTTGCGCTGCGCTTGTTTAAACGTGTACGCGGCGCCTGCCACCTTGTCGCCCGTCTGATTCGTCGTGAGTTCCGCGATATGACTGCATGCTGTGTGCCACACAGTGCACGAACAATTCTAGAAATTAATGGAACGTGTTTTCTTTCAGAACAGAACAGAAGGTTTTATTGTGCTAAATGAAGAAGAATACATGTGCATGATATACAGAAAGAGGTCCCATAGTCAGAGACTGCAAGGGGACCTCTTGTACAATTCTAAAGAGAAACAATTCTTGTACAATTCTAAAGGCGATTCTAAAGAAAAAAATTTATTGATAGTGAGAATAAAGAGCTGAAAGTCGCAGCCAACGAATACCTCTCGTGTATGCAGCGTGAATATTGCGATTATTGTCGCTGCTTTCTATCTCCTTTCCTTTGCTACTTCGGATACTTGGAGGGCGATTTTTGAAACTGCGTGCATATCACTAGTAACACAGTCACAGATTACACTATTACAAGGTATATGTGCGTGGTTCTGACTTCGTGTTTGTGCGCGTACTTGTTGCATCTTAACACAATCGAACGTTGAGTGAACTGGAAACTCCCAATGGTTTCACGACGTCGGAACCGTTCTCAAAAACTCGGTGTTCTTTTCGGGGTGTTAGAATACTTTCGCTGTCGCGGACATGTCCTGTTGTTTTATGCACGAAGGTGTGATTATGAAACTGTCGCGTCTCTAATTGACTGCAACGATTCACTTCGAGTTGCATTTTCTTGCGAGGCAAGAACTACAAATAGAAAATTCGGTGTTCGTTCTCACTTTGCTTGCGTTTTGACTGCACGTTTCGACTGCATGTATCAACCCGTACGTGTGTACATCCTCTCAGTAATATATATACACTGACTCAATAATGTGCACAAATATACACAGATGCCTCTCGCATTTCATGCGTAGAGATACATGCAAGGATGTTTATACATGTGTAGTATTTAGGACTCAATTATAGTCAAATGTGGCAACTTTTTTTTTTCATTCGATCCCACCGTGCAAACGAAGAGAGAGCGACAGAGCAGCCAGCGCACTAAATGTACAAACTTTTCCCATTGTGTGTCGCGCACACACGTGGGGTTCTGTGACTGCTTAAAAATGACCTACTGTGGAGATAAGACCATCTGATCGCTTGCGTACAGCTCTACATAACCTAATTCTCATTGGGTTTGCATGTCAATTGTGCATGTGTACCTGTTAGCAAATAGCGGAGTCAGCAGGTATAAAATCAGAACCTGCCTTAGCGAGCCCACAATTAGGAATGGGGAGGAAATATCTGGCTCAGATATTTGCTATTTTAGTCTATTACCACTTTATATCTAATCGTCCAATCTGCGGTGCTGTTTTCACATTTTAGGGGCGAGACTCCTTATAGCGTCACCTTGTCGGTCGTCCTTCCGTCCTGCGTAGCCAGCACATCTACAAAGTTAAGGATGACCAGTGAGGGGAAGTGTCCATCCGTCTAATGCGTTTCTAGTGTGATAGGAGTGGACGGACAGACAGACCGACGCACACACGGATGGACAGAAGCACGGATGGGCGTATGGACGCATGCATGGGCGGACGCACGGATGGACGCATGCAAGGAAGAACGCATAGACGGACGGGCGAACGCATGGATGCATGCACGGACGGACGGACGGGTGGATAGATGCTTCGCCTCACTCATCATCATTCACTCCGTGGATATGCTGTGATTTTTTATGTTTCGCTGATTCATTTGCTTCACTACACGCGTTGCACACCCATATTAAGAAAGGCGGGGACATTTATAATGTGCGTCTAAATACTTTGTGCCGAAATTCGACAATTCGAGCTGAAATGATGTCAGGCCTACATAAAAGCACATATTCTGTGCCTTAATGGTAGGTGCATCATTGCACTGCTTTTCGCTCCGACAGCCCAATGAATCATACATTTCCATTACTGTTTTCTATAACACAGTGTTCTTACTCGAGAGCAAAAGGCTGCGAAGCCGTGCGCTTGCAGAGCGCGTTGAGGAGTGGGCCAAGTAATGGTGACCGCTGTAGCTGACGAGCCACTAAGTCTCCACTCTAATCGGAAAGGAGGTGAACGACTGCATTGAAGCACTAGTGCTAAAGCAGCGCCTTCAGACAAAAGACCGTCGTATTTAGACTACCTTTACAAGGAAGCACAAACTATGCGGCCATTTGATTCTTGACTTTCTCTTGCATTAACACCTAAAATATCGCGAATTTGGATTGGATTGGATAAACTTTTATTTTTATTGGATAAACTTTTATTACAAATTTGGATGCCGTATATCACACTTCATTTTTCTTTACGCAGCCGTAAAATGATGTCATCTCTTGTATGCATCAAGAGCAATGACAACATTGAGCATTTTGATTTACGTGTCATCGCTTCACTTGTAGAAACATGCATTTCGACATTTTATTTTGAAACCTAAGAATTACTCGGAATTTTTTAAATATTTTTCTTCTTTCTTTCTCCACCCGCAGACATGGACTCCGAGTGCTTTCCGGCAGTCCCCGTGTCCACAGTCACCGGCCAGTCCGACTTGGCCACCGCGGGAGGTGTGGTTGTCAAGCAGGAGCCCATGAGTCCACCGCCTGCACCCCCTTCGAGTCCACCTCCTCCGAGTTCATCGTCACTCCACAAGTCGTCCTCACGCCTGCTGTCCTCGGCGTTGGCAGCGGCGCCCCTCATGTCCAACTCGTTGCATGCCTCGCTGGCGTGTGTCGCCTCGGCAGCGGCGACGGCCACGACGGCCACACATCTTCACCAGCACCAGCAGCAACAACAACAGCAACAGAGCCTGCTCAAGCAGCCCACCATCGTGTTGGCCACTGCACGGCACGAGCGCCACATGGTGTACCCAAAGGTCAAGCTGGAACCACGTGAGCACCTTTTCAGCTCTCACATTTGTGAGATCTTCACTTAAGAAGCATGGACTGCTAGGCGAGTTGGTAACTCATCAATTAACATGGTGGTGCGCAAACAACGATAGCACAAACCGAGGGTTAGTTCATCTAGCTCGGTAACAACCTAAGAAAGAAAAAAGTCTGCTCCTCCTCACAGCCATCCCGGTCCCTCCCGCAGAGAATATGAATAAGCAATTTGTACGAACGTTTGAATGAACATCCCGTTCGTTGATACAATGACGGGATGTCGGGATGTAGTCGTTCATTAAAATGCCTTGATGTCTGAAAACTCAACCGATTGTTTCCAAAGAAAGGAAGATGAATAGGTAGACAGACAGACAGACAGACAGACAGACAGACAGACAGACAGACAGACAGACAGACAGACAGACAGACAGACAGACAGACAGACAGACAGACAGACAGACGGACGGACGGACGGACGGATGGACGGACGGACGGACAGACTGTCTGTCACAGACAGACAGACAGACAGAGCAGACAGATAGAAAGACTAGACAGATAGATAGATAGATAGATATAGATAGATAGATAGATAGATAGATAGATAGATAGATAGATAGATAGTCTATGTGAAGCAAGAGCTTGATGGGAACTTTAGTGTATGTATATATCGCGTTTTCGACGTGGCTTCTAATGAAGTGATTGATTGATTGTATAATTGACTGATCAATTAATTTCATTAGCCTACGAGAAGCAAGGTTTTGGCGGGAATGCTCGTGCAACTGTATCTGTTGTTTTCGATGCAGCTTCCGGCTTCATGCTCCCGCCTACGCCGCCGTCTAGCCACAGCAGTGACTCGGACGGAAGCCTGTCCCCGGTACACAGCACAGACAACCGCTCACCCACTAGTTTCACAGTGGCGGCTGGAGGAGCCAGTTCTGACGCCACGACACCGTCATCTCAGGGCACGTCATCGGGCCATGGCCCGACCCACCTCGCCACGTCCTCATCGTCCTCTATGAGCCGCCGCAGCCAGTCACATTCGCGCGTGGCCGTGACGTCATCGTCATCTTCGTCATCGTCCTCCCCCCCGTCATCTTCGTCGCGCAGCTCAGCGAGCGGCGGAAGTCAGCTCATTAGCAACCAGGCAGTACGTGCAGGAGACATTCTGTCTGAAATCAGCAGATATTTCTGACCACTTGTATACTAGATGGACTTCCCCAAGTGTGGGTGTTATTCTATCCATCCCTCTCTTTACATTGGTCTCTCTTTTCGCCCATCTGTCTCTTTTCCCGGTGCAGGGTGTAGCAAACCGAACGTCCGTGTGGTTAATCTTCCTGCTTTCACTTGCTTCCTTCTCTCTCTATATCTCTACTAGGCATAGACACACGCATGTCTATGAATGGCGTAGCATGGTCTTGTTTTTAGAGGGACAAGTTCGCAGTCCAAAGGGCTATAGGGCTTGTAATGAGGATTAAAAATGTTTCATATTTCATGTGATCACATATTCAGTCTATCATACTTATGCACTGAAGTCATTGTAAACCAAAGGAACCCTGGCAGAAAAGAGGACAGGAGACCTCTCTCTGCTTGTCTTTGCTCTATATAACGACTTAAGTTTCGGCCAACTCCCCCAACAAGGTTTGACACCATGCTTACAATTCGCCGCTGTATCTGTGAACTTCTGTTTGCATTTTATTTGTTTGTTTCTGTGTGGTTGCATAGTGTTTGCGTGTGGATGAGCGTGTCTGTGCACTTATCTTTTGGCATGTTCATGTTTGTGTCTGTTTGGGTTCAAGCAGTGTTTTTATCCTTTCTGCCTGTCCATGCTGGTATAGAAAACTTGGCTCAATTCCGATGCTATAGATGGGGGTGTCAATCTCTTTGCAGAAGGGTGCCACGGGAGTTTTAATGTTGACAGACGAGGAGAAGAGGACTCTGCTGGCAGAAGGCTATCCCATTCCCCAGAGATTACCTCTCACAAAGGCAGAAGAGCGCTCGCTCAAGAAGATACGACGAAAAATAAAAAACAAGGTGATGATAATTTTAATCTTTTCTCGCAATCATTTGAATTAAAACTCACTGTAGTGTACGCCTCATGAAGCCTATGCAGCAGAAAACATGCAAGATCAGAGGACAAAAATGCAATAAATTCACTGCGTGTTTGAAAACATTTAATTTAGTACATGTATATTCTCCTGAATATGGGAATGTTTTGTCTGTACTACCATGCCGAACCGATTTTCCTAGTATGTTAAACCCTGTTTTAGACTGGTATTAACTATAAAAACAATCCAGCTGGCTGAAACATCTGTTTAGAGTTGCAGGAGTTCACAGATGTGTGGAGGTTATTTGCAGTTTAGATTCTTCACTAATAAATGAATGGCTGCTCTTAATATATTCTTGAAGAAGCAATGTCAAGGCTGTGCCTTTAAATTTCTAGCGTACACAGAATCTTACTTTACATCTTCAGTTCTGACGTCGAATGGGAATTGGGAACAGTGATTTGGTGCTGCCCCAGAGCATGCGGCCAAAAAAACCAGCCACGTTATGCTGGCTCTTCATGCCACGAGACTCTGGCATGAGAAAATCCAAAGCTTAAAATGGGCATACAGCTTTCACAGCTATTTTTTATTTTGGTTATACGCATGCAAAACTTTGACCCAGTGCATTACAGTGTAATAAAAGGCTTCTCGTGTGCTTTGGTAACACTTTTTGTTATCTCTAGTCTTTTTTTAAACTTGTTGCTGTTCTCCCTTTACAGATATCTGCTCAAGAAAGTCGAAGAAAGAAGAAAGAGTACATGGACTCTTTAGAAAAGAGGTACGCTAGTGTTACTTGCGGCTAGTCTCTTTTCCTTTTTTTTAATGAGTCACGCAGGCTTCCCAAGATGCATATAGTGTCTTTGAATGATGCTTTTCATGGTTTTCACTACTCTCCATTTGTTTCATGTAGTTTGCCTCTTTAAAACCATTTTTTTTGTATCTTTGCTTGGTATACCAAAACTTTTCTCCTTTTGGTAAAGTGCTGTCTAGCTGAGGGTAACACGCACGTAAAAACACATGCTTAAACACCTGTGTTTATCGTCGTTTTGATTCTGTGCCATTTTTTACCAAGTGTAAGCGAACCTGTTAAAACTAAACATTCATTTACACTTTTGCAGCATTTTGGTTAACTAAAGGCAAGCTAATCAGTGGAGTGATTGACTGATTGATTGTTTTATGAATTGTATAATAATTACCCGATTGATTCATTGTTCTTGGCAACAAAGGTATAACGCGATCCTATATAATGTGCTGTAATAATCACTGTTTGTACAAATGCTATTCCAGATGTGTTATTGAAGCAAGTTACATAAGTTAGGTGATCGGCCTCTCAGAAACTTCGCGGCAAGATGGGATGTACTCGAAGAAATACGAACTACTAACGATCAGTTTTGGTCAAAGTGGTGCCTCTATAGCCAGTGGTTTACACAAATGGGCTTATAACAAGAGCGAGTCTACTTGCCAGGAAAGTGCTCCCAGGCTAAGCCATATTTTATGGGTCACCACTTTACAGCCTGTATTGCTAGAAATAGTTACGCCCAATAAATGGTCCACTACTTCAGCTAGTGAAGTAATCATTAAAAAACCTTGTTGAGAAATCAGGTATATCATTGTGCTCATCTTGTGAGAGCAATGCAATTTTTTTTCTTGTGTCTTTTCACAGGGTGGAGACGTTATTAAGTGAGAACCAAGAGTACAAGAAAAAAGTTGATGTCTTAGAGAGTAGCAACAGGTAAGCATGAAGGGCTTTCACGATATATTTATTTGATCTATTGAAGCTTGCTACATCAAGCTCCAATGTATTAATGCACTAAATAGTAGAGTGTAAGACCCAAATTTTAAAGGGCCTGTACTAATATTTGTCTATCCTGACATCTAAATAATATATAAAATGCATGCCAGAGCAACTGTGGTTTTAATTTTGGTTCTCAAGCATTATGCTCAAGGATAGTTCATACAAAGCTGACCAGTCATCTTGAATGCTCGGTATTATACGTTCAGTGTCGTGGGTGAATATGATGAATGTGCATGTAACGCTTTATGTTGCTAATGTTTTATGTAGAATATGATGAAGGTAGAGTCAATGTTTTTATATTGACAGGCAGGCACTACTGATGTTGATAGTAAGCACAACAATGATCTTCGTTCAAGAAGGAACACAAATCGACTTATTATTTGGACAAGCTTTCCTTGTGTGTCACTGGCATAGCTAATTTGTGTATTTAATTATCCCCACAGGTCGTTGCTGTCACAGCTACACCGGCTCCAGTTATTACTTGGGAACCAGACAGCGAAGTCAGAGAACCGATCGGCAGCATCCCGGTCATCGACAGTTGTAAGTGTTGACACACTCATCGTCATTATCATCATCAAAATTTGATTTACGAGCCAAAATCCAGTGGGTCAGGATGAAGGTTCCTAGATTTTTTCCCCTCTTGTCCTAAGTACCGACATCCGTGTAAGCACCACCGGTGAATCTCATTGGCCAACACTCCTTTCCAGAATCCATGTTCTTCCTAGTGCTTTTTGCAATTCTGATGAATCGTGTGCCCACTCACTAATGGGGTGTTATTGGCAGGAGGAAGAAGGCACTTTGTATTACCTTATTGTCTGCTGAAAGAGGCATAGCTAAAGGTACTTAAATGCACATGACATTGTAAATTGTCCAAGTTAGTAAAAATGGAAGCAGGACACCGGCTGCACGTGAGAGAGGGTCGGTATTAGAGGCAGTTGTTGGTGCTTCAGCTAAAAGGGAAGAATCTAGAGACTTTAGTTAAGACAGGAACAAACAGCACTAGATACAGGGCAGAGAACGACCGACGAAGATGCTCGCATATGCAATATTTTCAGAATTTTCGCAGAGTAGAACAACAAAAACACAGTAGCTATCCAGCGAGATACAACAAGCCATCATGTCAGATGCATCGACAAAATAGGCTGTCAGGTTCTTGTCTAGTAACTCATTTCACAGTTACGCAGATGAATCGATGACCCCTGATGCAAGCATCTCCGTGTGCTTGGACATCGTAAGGCTCACTGATCTCATGTACTGTGAGCCTCATATTTTAATCATGTAACAACCGGCGCAGTGAACACTCCTGCAATAGTGGGTGATCGCGGAAGAGTTTCGACCATGTTGGGTTTTTACACAGCGATGTTTTTACACTTTGCCCTTTCCGATGGGCTACCACCCCAGCTAAGATCGAACCCACTACCTATTGAGCATAGCAAAGTCATTGTCAAAATTTAGGAGGAAGGATTCTGCAATGTGATTGAAGCTTGTTGTGTCGACCTTTACACCTAGTTTTAATGCCAGGGCACATGATGAGTTTTAATACTTCCTGGTTAGGTACTTTATGAAACTCCTCCCTGAGGAGCCCCAAGTGTGCCGAGCAAGCGTGCTTCCATTAGAAACTGCCGAGCATCAAGCCTCGAAGTCTCAGCAAATCTCATTTCTGACGTCCTCTTGACGCGAAAGTCATGTGTTGGACTAATACTACTGGCTTCACAAAGCGTTCGCCTTTCAAGGCTGATAAGTGTAGAGCAACAAATGTCAACCTTATGCAATAAACGTAGACCAATAAACAATCTCAACCAAGTAGCCCAATTAGTAGTTCTGTCAAGTACCAAGGCTGGCTACATCACCTAATGCTCCCTTCTAAGTATTTCTCCCTTCGTAATCGCGGTCACTAGCTGCAGGTATGTCAGCTATTTTTTCACAGCTGATATTGTAGAAGCACGTTGAATGACTAAGCTCTCGAAATAGTTTAAATGGTATTGCAATTTATCGCACTCAGCTATTGCATCATATGCATATATGCCATTGTGTGCTACATTCCCTTGATTCAGACAAGTTAGTGCACTTTATGAGTGTTCACTTATCACACAAACGACACAGATGATAGGAACAGATACAAGTGAATCGGCCCAGTGAATTGGACAGGCGGTGCTCCTGTTGTGTCTTCAGGCCTTCGTAGTGTGCGCTTTATCGATGAACAGTGTGTTTCGGTTGCATTATTTTACTTTCTGCTCTGATTCATTATTAGACCCGCAAGTAGCTAATAGTAGGAGCCTTGCTGGTATCAGGATGGTTAATGTATACAAGTTATAATATAAGCAAAACTGGCCAAAAATGTTGTGCATTTGTATAGCTGTGTTCAAAACACCCTGAAGATAAGGGTGTAACTAGGGTGTTTACAGGTGTTTTATTTCTGAACACCTTGATTTTTTAAATAGGGCTGTGAAAAGGGTGTTTACGAGGCCTTTATTGCATAAACCTGTTTTACACCCCTTAGGATGTAAAATTTTTGCGGCATAGCTAGCGCAGCTTTTATGAAGTTTTCGTTTTTATAAACGAAGCTCCTTAGGTCGTGGGTTGTTCCCTCCTTAGTATGTAGCATGTAGCCACCTCTAGTTTATCACTTGCTCAATAATTGTGCTCTTTGTATATGTCCTTGGGAATAATATAACTATGTAACTATATATAACTAGATGGCGTTAGTGGTTTTCACAGCATATACATGGACTGAATGATAATGAGTGGGACGAAGCATCCGCCCGTTCATTCATGTGTCCAACCGTCCGTGCATCTGTCCGTTTGCCTGTTCATCCATCCATCCGTGCATCATGAACATGACTACATGTCATGCTCATGATGCGCTCACAGCCATTTAGATAGCTTCACATGTACCAAATTCGGTATTACGGGACGTGAATGGATGACGAAGGAATGTGACTTATGCAAACATGACAGTCATGAGATGCGTGTCATGTAAGGACATGAGTACATGCTGCGCTCATGATGCGCTTGCGGCCCTTTTTACTAGCTTCACTTGTACCAAGTTTGGTATTACGTGATGCGAATGGATGACATAGATAAATGACACATCCAAAAATGATGATGATGACATGCGTGTCATGTAACAACATGACTACGTCCCACACTCATGATGCGCTCGCAGCCATTTTGCTATCTTCACATATCCCAAAATTTGCTATAATGTCACGTGAATGGATGGCGAAGGTATGTGACTGGTGCAAACATGATATTCATGAGATGCGTGTCATGTAAGAACATTAATACATGCCACACTCAAGGCACTGGTGCACTTCCACGTGACCTGGCACGCGTGCACGCCAGTGTTCAAAATATCTCGTCACGCCGGCGATGTTATGCCAGGTGCCGAAATCCCCCTAGTAGAGATCAGTGGGTCTGCCCACTGACCTCCATTGTGAATCTGCCAGCTATATATTCGCAGGCGCGCACTGTGCTGCGTTGCTTTGACGCATGCGTGTTTCAGGGCACACGGCGTCCCTCCGTCACGAAGAGAGGCAGACGCGGTGCTGTCTAAGTAACATCGTTTGGCGCGAAATGCAGCATGTCGCATTTCGCATCGGTTGCCACCGGACCGTGCCGACGGACACTGGTCGCGTCGGTCGCGCCTGGCATCAGACTATAGAGTGCTCGCGTGTTGCGTGCGCGTGCGTCAACATTGCATCCGAGTATATTGGGCCCTTTATGACGCGTTCGCTGCCGTTGCGCTAGCTCCACATGTACCAAATTTGGTGTCACGGTAAGTGAATAGACAATGAAGGTAAATGACATGTTCAAACCTGATAATCATAATATGCGTTTCATGTAAAACATGACTACATGCTATGCTCGTAGCGTTCTCACGACCATTTCACTAATTCCACATATACCAAATTTCGTATTACGTGATGTGAATGGCAACGAATATAAAGGACTTGTCTAAACATGATAATCATGATATGAATGTCATGATTGCCAAGTTTCCGCTTGTCTTGGAAAAGATTTAATAGTTGATTTTCATTGGCCGTGCGTTGTAGGGAGTGGACATCACGTGCTTGTATTATTGCATGTCGTCATATGCTCGGTGAAATTTTTAACTCCGAAGCCTGGTTTTCCTCATTTTTATGATCATTGGGCGACATGTGTTCATATCTTTAAAAGAACTTGTGGACAGGTCATGTTTATTATCAGGGAAGCAAAAAACGATGGCACATTGGCTAGCACAATAAGAAAGAACTGTGCTTGATGACGAGCTGAACTGAAAACTGAAGGTGGTTGTACAAATCACAGCGGTGCATTATGTAGACAGCGCTTTCTCGTAGATAACACAAACTAGGTGTAAAAAAAAGCCACACCACCCTGTTCAGCCTATTTGTGGCCTATACCAAACTTGTCGAGCCGGCATATTTTGCTGTAAAACAGGAAGTGTAGGTAGCGATAGATTAACGGTCATTTCTGTTGTGCTCTGACACTTTGCCATTATTTTGCTGTGTTCGCAACGTGTCTAACACCACGTATCTGTGTGTGACACATGTGCTCAGTGTAACGCATTGGTTCATTGCAGCAAATGGATTTCGAGACCGACGACGAGCCGGTGGACATAATTTAACTGTGAGTACCTGTCATGGGCCACTGATGACAGTTTATGTAGTTAATCAGCCATGTAAAAAGACAGATATGAATGTGTGCCTCTTTTATGCTGCCTCTAGTGGTTGTGCAGAGTTGTCTAGGTGTCAAATCACAAACATACTATGCTTCCATTCAAGTACATACATACATACATATATATATATATATATATATATATATATATATATATATATATATATATATAATATATATATATATATATATATATATATATATATATATAGCATTTTTTTAGCAATGTTGATTTTTTCTGAAAAATCTACAATAAGCAGGTGCTGATTTTTAACTAATTATATCACTCAGGAATGATTATTTCACAAAAATAGGTGAATTAACTTTATTATCATCAAATTTAGTGTTCATTACATGACAAAGTTATTCTGTGCCACTAATTATGGCGAGCTTAGTTTTTTGTAATTGAAAATATCACGGGTGGTTTCAGAGAACCACCATCAAATTTTCACACCACGATGCCGAAGAAACCAAAACTAACGCACCAAGTGTGCAGAAACTAACCTAGTGCGTCAAGACTAATGCACTTGATGCATTATGTTCGGTTTCTTTGGCACCATGGACTGGAAATTCAATGATGGCTCTCTGAAACCATGTGTGATAGTCTTAATTTTAAAATACTAGGCTCACCATATAGTTTGTGACTTAGAACTATTTTGCCCCATCAACAACTATCCTTAAATTGATAATAAAAATTCAATCCTTTTTATCCAATAAATATTCCTTATTGGTCTAATTAGTGTCAAAATCTTTCTGCCTTGGCCTATAAATTGGCTGCGAAGGCGACAAGTGTCTACCAATTGTTGTGTTTTAAAGGAATAGTGCGTATTTCTATTAAAAATGTCGTGCATATATATATATACACACATACACACACACACACACGCTTAGTCATCTGTATAAATGTGAACCAACTACAGTGAAATCTCGATACAACGAATTTGAAGGGACCGCGGAAAATAGTTCGTTATTTTGAAATATCGTTATAGTGAAAACATCGAAAATTCGCATTAAAAATCGTAAATGCAACAAAAGGAGTCGCCTATCTTTGCTGTGTACACATCCGCAAACGCTTGATTTTATGACGAGCGTGAAAAGAAACAAAACGCGAAGTATTCCGGAATGAGCGCACGTTTATTTGAAAAAGTCGGTGATCTTGGCCTGGCGGGTGCCGCTCAACTGCCGCAGGACGAACGCTTCGAAGTTGTCCACATTCTTATGCTCTGCTTCGGTGGCATTGCTGCACCTGCCAAGGTAAGTGCGCATCTTTCGCACGCATTCCATGATGTCGGCGTTGGAAAGCGATTCTTCTGGTTGGCTAACGGGCGCGGTCTCAGCGTCGTCTTCGCCATTGGCGTCCTCGTCGCTGTTATCACCACGAACAGCACTGACGATGTCATCGGTCGTCAGTTCGGCTGACGTGCATGCTTCGTCGTCGCACTGCACATAGTCCTCGAACGTCACCGAGGCATCCATCGCGAGTCTTTCAACGACTTCTTGCCAAATGCCACTCGCGTCGCTTTCTTTGCTGCCTTGTTCAGATTCAGATGGCATTACTACCAAGCCTGCCTTCCTCCAGCAGTTCTGGATGGTGGTTGATGTAACGCTCCACCAGGCCCCGGTAACCATTTCTGTGGCCTGTCGCACATTGATGGAGGTAGGCAGCTTCATCCGAAGATTTATCAGCAATCGCTGAACCAGGCGTGTCCGGTAATGGGCCTTGACACTTTTTATGATGCCTTGGTCCAGTGGCTGGAGCAAGGACGTACAGTTCGGAGGCAAGAATTCCAGCTGTACATTTGTCAGCCTGACATTAACAAGATGCGCCGAGCAGTTGTCGGCGATAATCAGGATTTTCCTACCTGCGCTCCTCATCTCATCGTCCACCTTTAGTAGCCACTCAGAGAATAACTCTCGTGTCATCCACGCGCGTGAATTAGCCCGATAATCGCACGGCAATGAAACAACGTTCCTCATGCAGCGAGGCTTCTTGTATTTGCCGATCACCAAGGGATTCAGCTTCTTGGTGCCTGTGGAATTGCAGCATAACAATACCGTAATCCGGACTTTGGACTGCTTGCCGCCTTTGCAGCTGTTCCCTTTAAAATGCATGGTTTTATCAGGAAGCATTTGATAGAAGAACGCCATTTCGTCCGCATTGAATATATCATCTTCGGAGTATGAAGCGACGATTTCGCAGAACTTCTCGTCCCTCCATGCAGCAGCGCTTGCTGCGTCTGCCGCCTTCTCTTCACCAGACACCACTTGCCAGGTGATTCCATTCCTTTCACGGAAACGATGAAGCCACCCCGCGCTTGCTTCGAAGCCTGTGATGTCCAAAGCATCAGCGAATTGCCGGGCTTTTTCCTGCAGCATGGGTCCCGACACCGGCACATTTTGAGAACGCGCGTCCTTGAACCAAGTCAGTACTGCAGCATCCACTTCTTGGAAATTCCCAAGTCGGAGCCGTTTTCTTGACGGTGCGAGTTGGGACCCTCCCCTCGGTGCAGCTCGAAGATCTTTTGTCGGTCCTTCAGGATGGTTGCGACAGTTGATGGTGCAACCCCCATCTCGTTCGCAATGTGGATTTGTTTTTTTACTGGCCTCCACTTGAGAAAGAATATCCACTTTTTCTTTCAAAGAAAACTGCCTCCGTTTCTTTTTCGCGCTGCTTCCGGAGCTCATCGTGAACGCAGAAACGAATCACTCTAACCTTTAAAACGAGAAAGCCGTACGACAATCGTGCGACGTTGCCGGTCGACGTAACAAAACAAAGGCGGCGAGGTTAGGCTCAACCTGGCTCAACAAGCATGCAAAAAAAAAAAAACATCGAAAACAAGGTACTGGCGATGGCGATAGGGCTAGCCAGGCTAGTGCGCATTTAGCATAAGGCAACGCATGGAGAAATGAGCAGGAGCTCTGATGATGATGATAGTGCCACATATGGCGCTGGGCATTTAGACCGCCGCACGTAATTTTTACGCTAGAAATTCGTTATTTTGAAGTGCTCTTAAGGTACCAGGGTGATAAAATTTGATACGTTATTCTGAAATTCGTAGTAGTGAAATATTTTTACATTGAACCAATGGACATTTGGAAGGGGATTTCCGAAATATTCGTTAATCTGAAAAAATCGTTAATCTGAGGTTCGTTATAACGGGATTTCACTGTAGCAAGTTTACCCAACATCTATATAGCTGTAATTTTTTTTTATTTTTTCAAGTAGATTCAAAACACTTTTGATTCCTCCTTGCATGCTATGACGAAGAACGAACTACACATGGTACCAAATGCACCGCACAAAAAATACGCCCTATCATTTCCAGTTTCGCTAATATCACCTGACGTGGCTGTCATATTTTACATAGACTTCTACAGACGAAGTCGTACGAAGTTGTCAGCTTTCAGAACTTGTACGTGAAGTTTTAAGTTTTAGAACATAATTAGCACCTATTATGTGTCATTTCATGTTGTGCACTGCAGAAGACATTCTACCATCTTCAGTATTGGTGATATTTCTGTGACATTTTTAATAAGCTACCCAATAGTTTCACATGAAGAGGCCGATTTTCAGAACTTCATTTTGGAGTTAGAGCTTTACAATTGCATTATCATAGATTAGGTGGGATGTCATATATTCTTGAAATATTGAAGACACCCAATGATTTTCCATTTTTTGGTATTACTTGGCATAGCTGTCAATTCTCACATGGGGCACCTGCAAAAGATGTAACATGAGAAGGTCTATTTATAAAACATAAGTATATTTTTTTAGTTCTACAGTTACGTTACCATAAGCTTCATGTGGGGTCATGTCTTTATGCACTCAGGTACTCTGGCATTTTCAGCCTTGTAGTCTCCAGGGTATTTGGGACATAGCTCTTTCGTACTACACATGAACTACCCACAAATGACATCATATGAAGGGGCTGATTTTAGAAACTTCTTTCTGAAGTTTGAGTTTGGCAATTCAATTGTCAGCAAACAGCTGTGATGTATATTGAGTGCAATAACCATGTTAAGTATTGGTGGTATTGTGCATCATAGCCTAGCCGTTCTTCATATGGGCCAACTGCAGACACTGTCAAATGAAGATGTTCAATTTTCGGAACTTGTGAGTTACGTACTGCATGCTGTGTCTACCTACATATTCTGTTGTACACCAAGTTTGTATTTAATTTCATGAGCTGATGGGATTTTTGCAATTGACTGTGCTAATCATGAGACGCCATTTGTTGCACATCATTAAAGGTCACATTAATTTTTCATTCTAGGGTGATACTTTCGTTAACGCTGTTTCTTTTTGTGCTTTCCTACAGCTCACAGTCACCCCCAGTCGTCAGCTTTGTTCTCCACCGTGAGCCACTGGAATCCAAGCCAAGCCGTTGGGAAAGTGTGACACACATTCCTGATTGATGTTTTTGGACACTACGTCTGCGTGTTCTCTTTTTTCACGGCCTTGTTGCTGGAACCAGTGGTAACGTACCAAGTGCCTTTCTTCGGAGAAGAGCCTTCCTACGCCGGCTACAAGTTGCGTAGGGACTGTTTGTTTTACATCTACACATCGCTCGGGTTTGTTTCTTTGTTTATTCAACATGTTTTATTTTTCTGTGTACATTTTTCTCCAATCTTTTTATTTTCTTCGGTGTCTTAACACTTCTACGGAAGCCAAAATCTCTCTGATCTGGCTGCGCTCGTTCCAAGTACAGAGCTTTTGTCCGCTGCCGACACACGTGCGTGCTTTACAGCAGACAGCATGCATGGGCACGTCGGCCGACAAAGTGTACAAAGTGCGAGCAGACGATGTTCACCGCATGTTACCAGACGACACCACTCGCGGAACCGGTTCTGCTTACAGTAGCAGACAAAAAGGGGGAAAAAACCCCAGGCAGTGCCAAAACAAAGATGAGAACAGAGCAGCGAGCTTTTTTTTGTGTCACACTGTCTCGCTATCAGTTACGTTTTTTTTTTTTTTTTTAGTGTTTCCTCTAGTTACCAACTTCTTTCTTCGGTGCTCAAGCAACACCTATGTCTGGAGGAAACTTATCTGTGAACGTTGGTTGAAAATGTTGTCTGGTGAGGTTACACAACTGGCATGTTTGATTTTTTTTTTTCTCTCGCAAAGCCGTCGCCTTGATGGCAACATTTCGAGGAATGCATTCCTTTTTGTTTTTACTTCACGCGTGACACCCTCGCATCAATGCAAAAGTGTCGATCATTTTTGATATACATTGTTTTTCTTTGTAAATAGCTGCATATGCACTCATTGTTGCTAAGAACGCTTCAACTACAGACGACCACCAAAGTTATCACCGGCGTTCACTTGCAAGATGATTGACGCCCCTTCCTGCAAATGTGCCTTTTTTTCTCATTTTTTTTCCTTGTACCTAGATTGTCATTGCAAGTATTTTAAGTTCTTTATTATGTTCTGTGCAATAGCTCGTTGAGCTACTAAGACATTCTAGATATTATCGGGGCCTCTTATTTTGGAGATTTCATGTTGACCTTCTGGCATTATGTGTTATACTGCAAGTTCTTCCCTTTCTTATGTCAGTGACCATAAATATCCAGCTTTTTTGTTGATGTTCAGGATTTGTTGGGGTTTGGGAACACTTTTTCTTCTCTCACATTGTGACTTGACTGCTTTCTGTCCTCATTCATTAAGACGATTGTTGATTTCTTGAAGCTCACATTCCTAACTTTAAGATTTTTTTTAATGTGTGTCGAAAACGTATGGGAGTCCCCATTCTGTACTCTAAAGATGGCTGACTCCGGAAAAGCTAGTTCAGTCAAATTTATTTTTTCTAAGACAAACTCATCGAAGAAAACAAATTGCCAGAGTAGCTCAACAACGAAATCCTCATTTCACACGTGTTTCCCCCCAGTTGAAAAACCCGTGCAGTATACGGGCAAATGCATTTGTGCTCACGTCTTTCCATCGGTTGTGGAAATTTGATATTGGACTTTGACGATGGTCTCCATAAAAATGCGTTTCTCGAAACAAAAAAAAAAATTGCTTCTGCTAGCTTCGGCCAAGTCGCTCGTTCTGGACCTGTGTGACTATGGTGTCCGGGCTATGGTGTTTTATCGAGATATAGTCGCTCGTAACCTAAGAAAAAACACAAGCTCCACCCCTAGAACTCCACCTCCTAAAGGCCCCAAGAGCTCAGATGAGCCAGAGATAATAGTAATATATGGGGTCTAATGTTCCAAAACCATGACATTATTATAAGGAACGCCGTAGTGGAGAGCTTCGGAAATTTCGGTGATGAGGTGTCCTTTAATGTGCACTGACGTCGCAAGGCACACGAGCCTCTGGCATTTTGTCTTTATCAAAATGGAACAACCATGGCTGGCATCGAACCCTCGACCTTCGATTTAGTGAGGCACCCTAGCTGCTGCACCACCGTGGTGGCATCCGCGCGAGAAGGTCTGACTTGGTTGTTTTCGTACTAAGCATCAGTACTTTTTTTGCTGTTAATGCAAACACTGCGCGTGTTGCGAAACTGAAGCTCGTCGTCTCTTATTAAAGCTTTGCTTTTGGCTTGGCACTGAAGTGAAATTTCTGGTAAAATTTGCCAGGGAGTTGAATTTTCTATGGAAAGCTACTGACACCATATCTGCATCAAGCGAGAGGAGCAAGACGTGAGGCAAATAGTGAATTGCTGTTTCATTGGGCATTTATTCTTAGTTGCCCTAGGCGGGAGAGCGAGGGCTGTTGGCGGAGCTTAGATTTACTTTTAGTTGGCCATTTAAGGCGCGAGAGGCACTTGAAGTCGGGAAAGACAAGCAGTTGCCGGATTGAGAAGTTATGAAAATTTCCTCTGGGTGGAACAGAGACGGCTGATGGCAGAGCTTAGATTTATTCTTAGGTTGCAATTAAGTGTAGTGACGCTTCTTTTTTTTTTTTCGTGAACTTGCCTATCTATACAGACTTTTTTTTTCACGTTCACGTGTGATGACGATAAGGTTTGCTGATGACAGCACCTTCTGCCATGATATGCTGCAGCACTTTTCATGAGAATCAAGTGTGGAACAGAATACTTTTTTTCGACTAGTCCATAGCGCACAAAAAGAGAACCATTATCAAATATCGTTTATATCACACACACATGTCTCAATTCTTTTACCTTGTTTTTTCTGTTTCTTTATGTTCATATATTCATTTAATTGTGCATTAATATACGGTGGCATGTTGCAATAGATGAAATCGTGTTGACTTTTCTCAGTGGAAGCGTGTGTGCGTGACAAAGATCATTTCGACGTGGGCTCACATTTATTTTGTGTTTGTTGCGTGGCATTCACACCTTCTTCTCGTACGATTCTCTCTCGACCCTTTTTGCGAGATTTCTTTAGTCACGAAAGGGTAGGCGTGAACTTTTTTTGAGCTGCGCATGCGCCATATCGTGTGCAAGATCTTGAAGGCAACGAGTAACGCTGACGTCAGCCAGCGGCTTCCATCTGACCATTTGTGTTCATAACACCAACATGAAGCATGCAGTGTTGTCACAATGTTGACGCCACTTTCTCAATGCTGCAGCAACGTTGTGTCAACATTTGGAGCTACTATGCATGGTTACGTTGTGCATTGATGGCGGAGTTGATCGTTCCAGCACTTCGAAATATATCCAAGAGGCATCTATGAGATTTCGATGCGCCTGAGAATATGAATTCCACCGGGAAAATCTCAACTACTCATACAAAACGTGTCCGGCGAGGTAGGGCTTCGCGATGTGGCATCGTGCTCAACATTATGAATAAAATGCCTAGACGTCTGAAAAAAAAAAAACCAAAAATGTTAGTGTAGTGTAGTGTATTCACAACTGTGTATTTAAAAAAAAGACTGGCAGCTATTTAACGATCGTGCATAAGTCTTCACATATTGCAGTCAGTGTAATAATGGGCTGCTCACAAATAATTTATTGTCATCGAGCGAGGAGCATTGTAACATCGGTCTTCACTCCGTTAGCGTTGCTTGTTGCCTTCATTGTAATGATGTTGTTTGTAGATTTTTTTTCAATTACGGGCAAATCGTATTTTTTGTTAGAGTGACTGCGATGTTTATAGTTTGCGAATCACTCCTGAATGGGAGCTTCACAGTTATATTTGTTTATGAGTGACGCCGGCCACCCAGAATTTCTTTCATAGTCGCTATCTTTCGTACGTTCCACTGAGGTATGCATCATTATTTCTGAAATTTAACAATCACGTGCCCACTGCCGATTTCGAAACTATGTCTGCTTTTTTGTCGGTTGCTGACTATGGGTTGAATCACATTCGGGAAACTGTTATATGTTCCAATACTGAAGTACTTATTCATTCAAGAGGTGAGATCAGAATGTAAGATTAGCTTGAAAAATGTGCACGTGCTGTATAGAGGGAATTTTTTATGGAAGTGCCAGTACATATGTAACATCTTACTTGAAGTACGATTCTTACGAAAGTTCTTCGAAATTCACATACTACATGATTGTCCTCATTTATTTAGCATGGTGTTAAAATCTTGACACTATAAAAAACTCTAGTGATGAGCTGAACATGAACCTAGCGAAGTAGTTGTTTCCGTTGTCGTGTTAGCCTGCAGAACTTCAGAAATTGTTGAAAACATTTCCTGTCCACTTATGGCAAACATGCTGTTCAAAGCATCAAAAGCTCATTGATAAAGTATGTGAAGTGTCCCCTTGTTATTGGAAAGCATTGCGTTATCATGAAATACCACTTCACCGAAGGTTCACAAAAAAAGGTTGTTTGTTTCAATGTAGTTCTCACATTTGTTTTCAAAATAGCTCCATTGATGTTATTATTTTTTTATTGACTAGTCGTGGCAATGGATGCATCTTCCCAAATTTTTCCAAACGTATTGTACTACCTATTTCTCGTTGAGAGTGGCAGCGCAAGAAAAATTTATATTTAGCGAGGTTTTTTGAGCCTTTATTTTCTTCACAGCTCTTTTTTGTAAAATTTAAGGATTTGATCCAAGCCAAGACCTGCATATTTCCGTTTATCACATTCAGTGCATACTGGTTTCCTGATTTCTCTCCATTTGTTGCGAACGCATTGAGGTTCGATTGCAACGACTTCACTTACCTCACTGTTCTATAAAGGCCCAGTGCGTGTCTGTCGTTCACACCTTTTATTTGCTCATCAAGTCTGGCGTCGCGTGCATTTATGTGATAAACAATAACCCCTTCACAGCCTTTAGTTATCGAATGTCCATTCACAAGTTTCAATTGTACAAATCGCGTTGATATGTGGATGATAATGTGCTGGGATTCCGATCCGACGGTATACTTTGTAAACCTCATGAGAATTGTGAAGTTCAGTGATCGGCGCTTTTTCAATGTTCCTATTTGCACTTCTTTCAAGTGTTCTTTAAAAAATTTAGCAGCTGGCAACGTTTCGCATCGTTCACAATCGCCACATTGTGGTTACTGCATCAATACGACAAGGATGCTGTTTGGGCTAGTTGTTCACTACGAATCTGAACCTACAGAATGGCATTTAAATAAAGTTAATGCAAGGGAAGAGTTGCAATCTTATTTAAATCTTCTGTCATCAGTATTGACACAACCTGTGATCGGAGAGCACGGTTATGAAACTTCGGTCGAAACCTCTAGAGAAACCTATATATTCAAAAAACGAGGCTTTTTTTTTTCATATATATTATGGTTTCACTCTAAAAAACGAGCCCATAAGACTTGCTAGTCTTGAAAATGAAATTATTGCTAGATGCTTTCCTCCACGTCATTTTGAAATAGGTGACATTTTTTTTTTTCAGTATGTACAACCACTTTCTCTCTCTCTCAATGGTAATTGCTCACTTTTACAAGTTTCATAACACTGGTTTTTGTTACGGACTGGCTGACTTTGAATGATGCAATGATGTCACCATATTTTGAACCACAGTTAATAGCAACGTTCATGGTATCGACGCACTTTTTTATGCTGTTTTTATTTTAGCTGACATGTGCAATCTTTTCATTTTTTCCGGGATTTTGTGCAAATCGTGCATTTGATGCATGCATTACTCGGTGGAATACGCCATTCCCGCATCAAAAGAAGTGTCTTTCACACTTTCAGAACTTAAAAAAATGGATGAAAACGGGTGTAGATTGTGGAGTAAACTACGAAGCTTTGCGATTTTAAAAACCATCAGGCAACATGTCCTTGGCACAAAGGAACAAATGGTGACACCTTAGGGTCGCGGTTTTTGTGCAGTCACATTTGTTGTCCAGAATGAACTGTCATCTCTGTTAAACCTTGTAAGTAGTCATCTTTCGTCACCTTGAAAAAACTTAAAAAGTTTCCAAAGTAGAAAGTCTTGTTTCAAATCATGATATTAGTTCGCTAAAGCACTTTCATGGAAAATTCTTCCGTGCTATCGCGAAGTTGGCACTGTTTCTTGGTACCGGAAGTGTCATTTTTAAGAATAAGTATATCTTTTGTGAGAATATATTACCGCTTTTTTTGCTATGCTAATAAAAGTGCGCAAGAATGGGCCATAGTCCACAGCATTGTTTATATTGTTACATGTAAGAAGCACTTCTCCCAGTCGTGAGCTGTCAGTCAGTGTGAGAACTAAAGCTTATACTTTTAGAGCTTACTCTAAGTTCACATAATGTAGGCTTTCTGACATCAGAGTTTGCACACTCTGCAAACTTGAAAAGCCAACACTTGAAGGGCGTAAGCTTAGAGAGCTTATGCTCTTTTAAGAATCATGAACTCATACGTAGACCTACCAGATAATAACCTTTAAAAGAGTAGACATTAAGTTATTCAATTCTCTGTCATAATCGCAGATTTGTTAGAGGAAGTTCAGTTGAATCTCACTTCCTTTTATTTCTTTCACAATTTTGCTGTTTGCTGATTTTCTTTTTAAAATGGGTGGCCAATGCATGTGACACTATTACGCTGAGAGAAAGAAGTGACATGTTATCCTAAATTGACAAAGTTTAAATGCAGTGGAAGATTACCCACACTTGTCAATGTAGTCTGCTCGACAACTTCATGCCGGTGCACTTTAGCATAAACGACATCCAAACGAGTCTGGCATGCTCAAATTAGCATAACTTCAGACGCTATTCAGTAAACAATGAATCAAAGCACAACTTGCCTTATGGACAACATTGCTATAGGTACATTTGATATAGTGTGTCTCAGTGGTGATGACTATGATGAAATGCCTTGACAGTGGCTTTGCGCTACACCAGTGCATCGAAGAACAATCCAGATAGCTAGCTCTTTGCGTTTCCCTTGTATCGTCTCATGGGCGCGATTATCATTTGATCTTTATCGGGAGACAGCCCACGGACGTTGTAGAAATTTTCAAAACATCTTCAAAGTTTTTATTATTCATTTAAATTCTCTGCCCTGTTGCATCTAACATATCTATAGCTGGCACAACGTAACAACTGTGGCTTTTTCAATGTAAACCGAATGTGACCGCCATACTAAGATATGCACTTGGTTATAAAGGCACGTAAATGCCGCACCTGAGCTCATGTTATACTCCTCTCTGAATAGATATATATATATTTATTATCGCTATTGCGATATGAGGTCAGTGTACTTACGTCTTTTGCACTACAATGCAGTCTTCATGGTCTGACGGTAGTACATTTGAAACGATAGCATTTACAAACTTTATCATCCTCTTGATCTCGATGGTGCCTTGGTGACCTCGCATGCAGGAAAAAAAGGACAGAGGAAAATTATAAGCCCGCATATTTTTTGTGGATCATTTAGACGGGGCATTTTAGACACAGCTGGAAATTTCTGTGCAAGTTTTCTTTTTATATCGTCCATCCCCGGATCTACTCTGAACGAAATTGTCTCCACGTCGCATTTTATCTGACAGCTTTGGCTTAGTGATTCTTCATCTGTTTCGTGTATGACTATTATGAACATCTTGAAACTTCCCTACTCGGAGTTTCTCAAATGATTGAAATAGAAATAGCGTTTGTTTTAAAACTCGCGCAAGAACTTCGAACGCATGTTGCCATTCTGCATGCCAGCCCCCTTTGAGAGCTAAGAGTGTTCTGGCTACACCTCTCTATGAGAGTTAAGTGTTCGCTTCCTGTTTGACTCCCTTTCGCTGCAACTTCCGTACTTTTCCTGTTGGTCGGCGTTCACTTTGCACATGCTCAAACACACCGTTTCAAAGGTTATGGAAGTGGTTCAGTATTTTGGATCATTTCTTGTCGTCATCTGTGAACTCTGTGGTGATGCAATGGTATGTCATGCCTGATTTTTGCTGGGGTAATGAATGTTGTTTGCTGCAGGGCCGAGAGGTGTTCTTATCATGATGAGTCGGCAGCACAGTTTTTTGTTGTTAGAGTGCGTTATCTACCTCCAACGTTAGGCTTGCAGTTAACCATTTGCCCTTAGTTACCAGGTTACAGGTTCTGCTAACGAGCAGCGCAGATAATTGTAGACTAATAGGACAAGCCTTCAAAGGGTTACTGCAATGAAGTTTGGGTTGGCTAATTCTATTGTGTATTAGCAGCATATGCTACCGAAAGCAATCTTTTCAGGAAAGAAAACTAGTTCGGAAACAAACTTTGTATTAGGAAACGTATGCCCAAGATTTTGACTTATCCGTCACTTCAGGCGTGCTATTCTCGAGCTCCTTCCTAGAACTCTGGTATTTATTCATTTGTGCTTTCCGCGAGGCTTCTTGTACTGAATCAACAAATATTTCGACCGCAAGCTTGGCACTGACGTTGCCTACATCGACGCTGTCAAAGGCTACATCGGCTTTGTAAATTGCAGGACTCCGTCGTCATCCAGGGTTCACCATCTTGTCAGCTTTCATCAGCCGCTTTGCTACCCTGTACTAAGGGAAGGGGAAACAAGGATGAGAAGGAAAGAATGCAGTCAGACAGTGTTTGTAATAGTATCCCATGTGCGCTACGCAATCGCAAACTTCATTGCAGTTGGCCTTCGAATGGACTAGTGATGTGAATTGTCTATATCTACCCTGGTGTCATGTGCATAGCATGGCTGCCTGCACTATTGTTGGGTGGAAGCTCACGCATCAGCTAATCAGCTGAGCACAGACAGCGTTGCTGTGGCCTTCAGGGTGTTTAAGTAGCTTGTAGCGAGCTTATTCTAACAGCCTTTACCACGACATTCTGTGCATTCTCACGTAGTCAAGACTCGAAAAAGAAGCTAGAATTAGTGAACTAGCACACCGTACAGGCCAGCTTTTTTTAGCTCCGTAAAGACGTCGGGTTTTGTACAGACTTCCGCAAATGTTATTGCTGACGTACTTTCTAGATCGCTATTATTATGGCATAAAGAAACGTGTACATATGATTACAAAGTAATGTTTCTTTGAACGCCATGCCTATAACACCTTCGAAATAGATGTATTATCTGTATAGATATTAAATAGAGTTGTATCTGTATAATGACGTATAATAAAGAGAAGTAAAAAACGATATAAATATGTGCTACGCGTTGTACACCATATCAATCTTTTCAACATAGTTTTTTGAAGCTGTATACAGAAAGCTTATTGTATAGTTGGTTGTTTTCTGGAAGAAAGATATATGCTGCTTTTTTTTAATAAAAAACTAGCTTTTTCCTTTATCTTGTAGTTCAAGCTTTTCCCGCTTGTGGCACCAGTTTTGTAACACTCCGAAGAGTGAAGCACTGTGCTGTGGTGTCTTTTTGTGCCTCTAGAAGCTCGAATTGCTCAGCCATGACTAATTGAAAGCTCCAAAATGTTCTGTGTGAAAGCAGTTACATGCCCCGAATTTTATCGCTGCAATGATGACTGACGGATGCTCGTATAACTTCATATCATTTATTCTTTCTTTGTCGCTCTAAATCCTCGAACCGTATATTAGAACCCAACAATCTCCAGCATTGTTACTAGCTATTCCTATATGTTTCAGAAGAAATGTTAGGAAGTATAGACAGTGGAGTTTCTGGAGGACTGGTTGTATTGGTGGCTGCCTTTAACTGCTTTGCCATATTATGCAAGTGCCCTTTCTAATGCCTTAGATGCCACTACAGAGCTAGTTTTATTACTCATACAGGCAACACCATTGTTATAACGGCAGTAAAACGTATTCTCGAACCACCATTCAACCTTTGTGAACTTGCGTCTATGGATCATAGCTAGTCTTATCTTGCTTTCGGCCTTCGCACTGTACCTGTAAATGACGTAACAAGGCAGTCGTTTCATCCTTTTTTTTTTTACTGCCGAGTGTTATAACTGTAGCGCAGGCTTTACTGTAGAATGGTGCTTTAGAAGGTCGTTAGTAAAAATGTAGCTAACTTGGGGAAGTTCAGCTCGGGAGCCCAAGTCACATTTTCCTGTAGTTCTAGATAGCATTACACCCTTAAGGGAGTCTTTTTTTTTTGTCTCACAAGAGTTGTCCTCGAGGGTTAGCTTGCGTATTCTTTTTTGAAAGCTCTCGACTTCCGTCACATTTCTTCTGTCAGGAATGCTACATCACCCTGGTAACACGCATCTCATTGGTGACCTCAAAGGAATGGGCGCCTTGTTGATAATGATGATTTTCGTGCGACAAAAATACACCCCAAATGGTGCAATTTTCGAGCGTATTTGATTACGGATGATTCGCAAAAATGCTTATGCGAGACAACAGCTGGATCCATTTGCCCAGGAGACCGAATTTACATTCAGGCCTCTGCCTCAATTATTTCTTCTAATCTATAGAAACCCATTAGTCCCAAAACTTTAAAGTGCAAATACAACGATTTAGAAGTCTCATGAAGAGATTAGTAGTGTATATGAAGCGCTGTTCGAAACACCTATGCATAGTTTTGTATTCTTTAGATGTATCTTGAGGTGAAGTTTACAGAAATGTATGGTTTCTCATCGCCGAGTTAAAAGTGCTATGTCTAAGTTTAAACTTGTTTACTATAGCAACTTCCAATACTTCTGTGTTCAAAAAATGATGTGTTAAACTAACATGCTGCTATACATTAACTGTTTCTTTGAAATGCAACTACCATTTTTTAAATAAGGGGAAATGTGATTGCTGAAAAAAAAAATTTGCGCTGGGTTCGTAGCTCCAGAGTAAAGGCTACCTCTTCAGAAGGAAAAAGAGAGTATATTTTATGAAAGAATGAAAACTTCCACATCGAATACACGCGAATCGACGATGCCTTTAATACGGGGCCACTATTTCTATTGTGCTCTTTCCTGCGCCGTTTTGAATTCATCCCTATCTTCGCTTTCTTTTTTTTTATAGTGTTCTATTTTTGTACGTTATCATCATGCATCACGATGACACGTAACAACTGTGAACACATGCTTTTAGCTTGCGACAACAACCCGCGTAAAAACCTATTTAGAGATGCGCTTACAACCCTTTTACTTTTATATATTTTCATTTTTGTGTTAAATATTGAAAATGAATTATTTCTGGCACTGTTTGTCGTTAGTGACTCACGCTTCAGGTACTTCTTGTCTGAAGCTATGTGATTACGTTTTAATGTTTATTGTATGATTTGAAGCTGTTTATGGACCAGGACAGGCTACCACATGTCACGTGTTTCTGTAAATAGCTCGTCTCTTATAGACAGGTGGTGCTGTTGGTTTTCCTTTTTATTGACTGGATTGTTATGCAATGTTTCTTTACGCCACTGGTAGCCAGTAGATCTGGAGTGTTTTGCTAGCGGCTTTTATCTGGCAAAGCATTACTGCTGATTTTCTTTAAATTTAGGAATGCCTGTGTTCTTCACAGTCGAGTTCTTCAAACATAACATATCAGATATGGCATTCACGTTTACAGATATGATTGCTACTTCTTTTCGAAAATCAGAGATTTACAATTGGTCTTGTCAGTTCTTGCAAAATAAATAGTGGATGCTTATTGAAGTCAATGTAAGTGGAATCATCGTGTAAATGACAGAGAGAACTGGAGATTATTGGTGCAGGCTTTCGTCCTGCATTAGATGCAAAAATTTCAATGATGATGGTTATGATTATTATTATATAATGATTCACAGCGTGGTGTTCATCTTACACTGTTGCCCCTAAAGTTTCTAGAAAACCTAAAGCTCCTTGAAATGCTCAACCTCCTTGGTTGGAAAGGGAAACTTTATAGAAAATCGGAATCCTAAATTCATGTCAATTGATGGTTGTGTTGAAAGAACTCTGCTGCGAAAGTTACAACTGAACTGGAAAAACTCCAGTGAACAGCTACTCCGTGGTGCCTAGTTGCCTATGAAAATTTTAGGACATAACCTATTTTGTCCATTCAGGTGCACATTCAGGTGTCCATTCAGGTGCAGCCGAATATAATGCCAGATTACTGCTGGCATTTTTTTTCCGTTCCTACTCCCATCGTGTCTTTTGCCACTGAATTCTGTAATCCTTGTGTGTTGTTATGGTATTGACTGATCTTGTCTGGGATAGCAGGATGCGTGCCATCTTGGGCCTTTCTCAATCATTAAACACGAGCCTACGCACATGCCCCGTCATGCCATTGCAAGTCATTGGTTTTACATTTCATTTTAGTGTATGCGTATGTATCTACGAATGTATGTATGAGTGTATTGATACATGTGGCAGAGTGCATTTTGATTGCCGATGAAAATGTGTTGACCAATTCTCTCTTACCTCTTCCGGGGACCAGCTTTTTTGTTTTCTTTTCTTCTCATATATCTTGTTGCCATTGCATCGACAGAGCGTTTATGTTTCCTATAGACGCGTTTGTTTCTCCATTTTTATTATTATTCTTTGTTATGCGCAAACTGTGCACGTTATTTTTTTTTCCTCTATCTCAAGCGGGATGTGCACAATTTTTTTCCATGTGTGTACATGATGAAATACATAAGAATATATATGAAATGATATGCCCGAACTTGGTTGTCCTGTCTTCTTTTGCAACTGCACAGATTTGACTCGGACTCGAAGCAAATGAACGCAATATACAATCAAGCTTATTCAGGTTAAATTATGTGCAGCGTGGTTGAACGTGAAGAAACGGGCGACTCATTCAGTGAGGTACGATAGCGTTTGACAAAACCATCGGTAGACAACATAATTTTACTTTATGCGAACTAATTCACAAATAATTATTTATTTCCTTTTCTTGTTATTGTTGCCTAGGCCTCACTCGGACTGATGAAAATTTCGCTTAGCCAAGATCAGCCTGGCTCGGGCTCACCAAAACCCTACTCAGCAACGCTCACTTCGAGCCACTCACCAAACACCTCAGCTGAGCCAACTAGAACTTGGACTAGCATTGGGGTAGCGTATACTAGGCTAGGTTAGGACGCGTTGTTACGCTAGGTCAATTTGACGTATGAGTTGCTCAGAGCTCGACCTCAGCCTGAGTGAGTCGACTCGTGGGTTACTTCGCCGGCTTTTGGGCGAATCATGACAATGACAACGCACTGCCTTGCTCCGATATATGCTGAAGAGCATTTACATTGCGTGAACAAATTCATTTCTATCGCTTAATCTCAACTAAAAGAAATGTTATCTGCATTCGCTTTCTTCCTAACAGAGCTTGTTCTCTTCTTTTAGTAAAGTTGCATCAATACATCTTACCATGTTGTTCATTAAGAAATTGCCATGAACAATCGGGGGGGGGGAGGGGGCTTCAAGTTAGATCAGCCCATCGGCCCCTTTTTATGGTTAGTTGTCAACAGAACGGCTGAAGCGGGTACATTTATTCAATATCGTGGAAGTCAATCGCATTTTACTAAAATCCAGGCATGACTTACCTCGTGTTCATACATTTCTTTTTCTCAATGCGGAAATCACTATCGTAGCAGTGAGAAGAAGCTTGGTCAGTCGGAAAACGATCAAAGAGGAAACACGTGTGGTGGTGCTGTCTTGTAAGTTCACGCATCAGCCGGCCATGACATCACATATTGGAACGGCTTCTGTTTTGGCCTGCATAATCATCAGTTCGTGAAATGATGTTGCATTGTGCTCTAAAGCAGCCAGTATGCTAACATGCCGAGCTTCAGGAAAGGGTTGTTTTAGATTTATTAAAAAAGTAAAATCGCTATAAAAAAAGACACAAAAACACAAGGGACACGGAAGAATGTTTACTTTCAAACTCCAGCTCTTTTCGCGTGGTTACTGTCTTTCATTTATCGAGCCGACTTGGTGGAAGTTGCCGCGGGATCGAATCTCAGGCTACGGCAGCTGCATTTTCAGTTAAAGCGAAAATTATGTGGGCCCTTGTGCTCAGATTTTGGTGCACTTTAAAGAACTACCCGAAGGTCGAAATTTCTGGAGCCCTCACTACGGCGTCTCTCGTATGTGGCGGTTTCGGGGTGTTAAAATTCAACAATTATCATTATTAGTAGATGCAAAGCAGCTCTCTGACTAGCCTGTGTAACGCTGTCCCTCCGTCCGCACCGCTCCCCTCGCCGCAGGTGTTGGAGAGGTGCCAAGTAGCTCAAGCCCTCCTAGCAGTGCACGGTTACGTCTCTCTACCTCGCCTGCCGTGCGCTCGCCTCTTGTCGGCTCTCTCTCGCTTCCCCCTCTCCACCACTCGCAACGCTCGAGCCCAGTGCTCACGTGGTAATCATCTCACCCACGCCACCTCACCCCATCTGTCGGCGAGAAGAAGCCGCGAGCCGGCGGGTGAGCGCGCTGCGCGCGCCTTGAGAATCTCGCGTCGCCGGCAATGGGTGTGTTCCAATACTCACCGTAGACGGCTAAATAGACAGCTTAATGGACGGCGGCCATCTTAAGTCTCATTCCAATTTTCACATAGCCGGCAAAGTAGACCGCTCTGAGAAGACCGCACTGTAGACAAATACGATGCAGGCTAGTTTGCTGTTGGCGATTCAGCAAATTGCTCAATCTCGCCGGGATGGTGGTCTGCGCACAAGCAGGCGCTTTTCCAGAAACTCAATGTAGATAACGTTTAATTTTTCTGATTTTAACTCAAATTAAGCCAGAAAATACAGCTGTTGCGTTTATTATGGCTTTCTCTTATCAACGCGAGGTGGCGCCTCGTCGTGTAAAAGCCGTCTGGACGTGTTCCAATTTTCGGACAGCATGAGCTCGGTGCTGTCTTCTAAGCAGTCTGCGTAGACTGTCTACGTGCTGTCTATAATAACTGGAACACAGCCAATGTGGACCACGCGCCGCTGCTTGCCACGCGATCACGCCGACGGGCGGGGCGCTGTTGCGGCATGCTTCCTGCTAGTGTGCACGTACCTTTCCCGGCTGTAGCCGGCATCGCGAGGGTTAGCGAAGCCGATTGCATTCGCGAATGGTGACGTCAACACCGACGATGTGCGAGCCAAGGAAGCCGAACGCAAGCGTCGGCAGTGGAAGACCAGCGACACCAACGAGGTGCAAGTCAAAAAAAACTCCCAAGCATTTCCCCGAGGGTGAACATGGTTAAGTGCAAATGCACGGGGGGATGCTATGAGGGGGAGTAAAGTTAAAATCCGTTGGCGACGCTGATATCGGTGTCAGTAACGCGCCTTATACCCAGATGGTAGCGTTGCCTCCGGGACATCCATCGCACGACCCGCTCTCGACGGGAGACTGAGAGAGAAGGCGGGCGCGCGAGAGAGAGGGGTGCGCGCGCAGCTGCAGTGAGCGAGGAGAGCGGAGGAGCGAGCGAAGGGGGAGGGGGACTATCGGCGTCGGGTCCTCTTTCTTTTAAACATAGAGAGAAGACTGCGGACGCCACCGACGGCGGTGGATGGTTTGGGGTCGCTTATAAAGTGTATTCACACTTAAAACATCGATCGCGTCCGAGAATACAGATGGTACGCGGGTAATACCGGTCGACGAGACGCTAGCCAAGGAAGCCGAGCGCAAGCGTCTCCAATGCGTCCCGCCTCCCGTGTCCTTGCGTTTCAAAGAAACGCTACATCGTGTTTCACTTTAAACCGTTCTTCCAGCACCCGCGTCGACGTCCGTTTCAACCGGGTCAACGCCGTGCACACCACTGCTGCTTCGCATCCTATCAGGGTATTTTCGGAAAGATGGTCTATAGGTAACAGTTATTAATATTATTATTATTATTATTATTATTATTATTATTATTATTATTATTATTATTATTATTATTGTTGTTGTTGTTGTTGTTGCTGTTGTTGTTGTTGTTGTCGAAAGCGCGACAAATAAGAAAGACCTTGAACGTCACTTACAACAATCCCAAATGTTGGGTTTGGTGAAAACCCATCTGGTCGGAAAAGTTAATGGTGTATCACCAATCGTAAAAACAAAAAAAGACCCATGTAGCCCACGCCACTCCAAATACTTCTTTCTTTGCGAACAAGGCCCCGTAGCGGGGCCAAAAAGTTCTCTTTTTTATGATTGATTGGCGCTTATTAGGGAGTTTTAGCTTGTACGTATACTTCTTTACGTTAACGTGTTACCGGATACCGGTTCGCGTTTACCGTCTTACCGGAACGGATATCTTTCAACGTGTTAGCTCCTCATACGTAAATTTTCACGTACGTACGTAAACGCGTATACCTTTACGTTTTCGCAAACCATAAATGGTGATGCTAACTGCATATAAACTGCATTCACCTTACATATGATTGAATCACCATTGAAGTGAAATCACGAGACGTTCTCTTATTGCGTACAGTATCCTCATATGCGCGAAAAAGTGAAATACAAGGCTAATGCAACGATGGTGTGGACATCTTGTGACATTTCGTGCAACCACAGTAATGAACACGTTGGCTTACGCGTAATGTTTTTGAGGTGAAAATAATTAAAAAAGTAACTCATTTGTAATAACGGCGCTGTGAGTTTTTTGCATCAGACGTACAATGCACAATGTTTCTGCAATAACAATTTTGTGATTACCTGGTTCACTATCGTCCCGCTAGATGGCGCCACCTATCCAGCTTCTCTGGATTTCGCACGTTTACGGCGTTGATGTCCTAGACCATTCTAGCTTTGGTAATCCAGCTGAAACAATGTAATGGCCATTGGCGCTAGCACTTCAGCTACTTCTGCTTATAGCAACTCGACGGTTCGAGTCCCCGCAATGCGCATACCACAAGTTTCTACGAACGAATGTGGATTTGCGAGATTAGGTTGTAAACGTAAAGTCTATATGGCCGGAAACGTTAACTTTTAAACCAGATCCGGCGGGAAACGTAAAGGTTTACGTTCCGTAAAGAACCGCGCATGCGCAGATTCTATCCGGTATCCGGTAACACGGTAACGTAAAGAAGTGTACGTACAAGCTAAAACTCCATATTATTGCAATCTGTTGTTCACGTTTGGGCGCAAAATTCAAAAACCAGATCTTGACTTTCATTTTTTTTCGTCTATTAAAATTAACATACAAGAGCCATACTGAAGTCAACAGAGCTCTCATAGAACAACCAATCGCTTCAAAATAATTAAGGCGAGACCTTAGATACCTTATTAAAAGTGAACATCAATAATTGGTGTCGGGGACAACACGAGTGCTGCCAAAATTTATCATCACGTCTAGCGTGATCATATGACATCACCATGACGTCACAGGTGGTCAAATCTCGGGACGTTACGTCACAAAGTGACGTCATCACATGACATCGTAAGGTGATCGAATGGCGGCGCATGGCCGAGGTAATGCAAAACCATGTCATGTGCAGCCGGTTTTAGGATGATGGCGGAACAAGATCAAAACATCTAGAGTTACTGTATATGTCCCCTTTATGGCTCCTAAACGAGTCATGTGCAGCAACTTTGGGTATATGTAGTGTCCCTATATGCTACTACATATATTATAACTCCTAAGTACATCGAATGAAAAGGAAAAAAATTCAGAGCCTATCCTCGGAGTGGGTGATGATGAGTGAAGCGAAGCGTTCGTCAGTTTGTCCGCTCATATCACATTATAGCATGCATCGGATGGACGGATATGCT